CCAGAGGGACGTAGCTTTCCTTCTTGGTGCTCCAATTCAAATGTATACAAATGGGAATGGCTAAAGGTTCTTTCAGTTTGCAGAGGGAAAGCATATCAGGCTAGTGACAGATGCTTTACGTCACATGACTTGATGGGTATTATGGTATATGAAATCTCATATAACTTTGCAATCCTGATCTGAATGTCCTGGCTTCTGTGGTTGGGAGTCAGAGTTGAAGCTCCAGCCCTGTCCTCTACTCCCCTTAGTGCCTTTCAATGTTGAATCACATATGGTGTATGGAATCACCTGCCGTTTAGAGGCCCCCACAGAGTATGTACTGAGCAGTTTTCCTTTTTTAATGTGTAGTACAGCTCCTAGTTTTCAAGAATAACTAATTGGGAGCATAAACCTCACTTTGTCCTTGAATGGTTTGCAATTTAGGAGTCCTGAATAACGGAAATGGAGGGCCTACAAAGAGGGCATCGAAGCGTGCTGCAGTTTGATAATTTGCCCGCTTGGCTTGGGTAAGCTGCTGGTGTGGAATTGCCCTGGGAAGAAACAGCAGACCCTCTCAGGTCGGTAGCTTGTCTCTGATGTTGGTTTGGGGGAATTTAGAGAGTCGGGGAACTCCGATGACCCCCTGGGGCCTCTATCCTGCCATGCGTGTTTTCACAAGAGCAGAGTGTGGGCCACTGGGTTAGTTTGGATTTGCTTGAATGCCAGCATGTGGATAATACACTTAGATTGGAGCGGAGCGCTGAAGTTGTACCAGGCCACACTCATGTATAGAAACCATTATTCCTGGGAGTCCAGTCTAGAAGCTATGGCTGAGGAGAGAAATACTTTGAACTATGGGATCCAAAAAGCCCATTGGTCCCTATCTGACACCCAAGCATGTTTACTTCCTGCTTGGCCACGTAGCCAACCAGAAGGGCGCAATATGGTGATGTCAAGTTCCGCCTGTGTGTCAAACTGAAAAGACGGCAGCTCTGCAGGCCCCACTCATTCTGTTGAGGTGGTTGCAGTTTGACTTGCCAAGTCAAATTCCTTGTACTCTGTACAAGTCAGAATGCCCAATCTTATCACTGGTAACTGACTCTAAAGAGGGGCTCAGAACGGGAGAGTACAGGTTTTCTCTTTATCAGATGCCTTTAAAGCCGCTTCGCAGCACATCCCTGTGATTGCTAACACCATTATGAAGATTGACAGTTTCATCAAGAAAGCAAAGAAGAAAATCTGCAGACAATAAATGGAGGCAGTGCTGGGCCCTGCTCCGGTTACCCTCAATAGCACTTCCAGAGCGCTGAGCTGGGGCTGGGGTCCTTTCCCCCCTTCAAGGACCTGTGGCTTTTTTTTTTTTATTGAGCACAGAGCCTGAGAACTTTTGTGGCCCTTTTCCTAGTACAAATTAGTGAGGAGAAGTCTGAAGAGTGTAGATAGAGACTTGGTTGTGGTGATGAGGATTGGTTTTTCCTTGCCTGAAAACAAGCCTCTAGCATTGTCCAGCAACTTTTCCACCTCGCAGGCTGAAATGCATATCCCAAAGTCTGCAAATATTTTAGTACAGTGGCCAAACCAGAGAAGCTCAAGTGTAAAAAAATCAAGAATGTTCTTCTAAGGATACAGAATATCTCTGAATTGTTAGCAGTTATCTATAGCTAATAATCCCGGGCACTCTCTTACCCCAAGCCAGCTGCACCACAAATATGTGGGCTGTTGACTGCAAGGCCAGTGGTGTGAATGATTCAATGCAAACCCGTCAACACTACTGGGAAAACAATTCTTCGTAAAGACTTACTGGAGATGATTCAGTGCCATCATCAGCAGAAGCGAGCAGCTGTGTGAAACCACCGCTTCTCTGAGCTTCGGATGTGCTAACGATATATTCTCAGAAGTAAATAATCCTTTTGCTAACAAGACGAACCCTATTTACTCACTTTCATTCTGTTGAGGTTTGAATTCAGCCCAGTGACCGTGTCATAAATATCATTCTGACCCCCAAGGGGGCTGTTCCTGAATCTTAGTTCTTTTGCAAGTGTCCTTCTCAGAGGTTAAGCTGTCCACCCAGCCATGTTGCCTTATATTCGTCATATTTTTTAAAGGAACTGAAGGGGTTAGTTGGTTTCTTCAGTAAAGAGACTTTTGCCGAAGAAAGCAATTTTAGGTTAGTTTGTGTAGTAGCCAGGGAAATGTACTCAAAGGGGTGAACCATGTTTCTGTTGTGCAGATAACCTACATACCGCTTTAGAAATGTGTGATTTCCAGCGTGTGCTAAAATAAGAAGTGGTTGTTTGATTTATCTCCCACAATGGTATGGCATTCTCTTCCTAAGTGGCATTTCATTCGCAAGCCAGGCACTGTAAATTTGAACTGAATATGTAAGTAAATATCCCTCAAGGAGATAGCACACTGGCTGGCCTCGTCTGAGAATACGGCTGCTAAAAATGAAGCTCTTGGCTTTTGGAAAAGGCTCAGCACCTGAAATACATTAGCATCCAAAAGAGGGCATGGTGTGCTCGCCAGCCAAACAAACTGAAAGTTAGTCTGAGCTATAATTGTGGAGCATCGCCTACAAACAAAGTGATATTTGGGTTGTACCTCCTACATTTGCCCTCAAGCACTCAAACTTACATTCAACCCATTGGAATTTTGCTTTGAACTTTCATGTTTGGGCACATCACCTCAGTGCATGGCAACTTGGTACGTGATAGCTTTTACTCTAGCATCTTTGTGTGGCAGGGACAAAGACAGTGACAGTGTTTTATGAAGCCCTAACAGGATTGCTGCTGTGCATAATTGTTAAAGGGCTGTCGATCTACTGATGTGGAACAGGCAAGAAGCTTAAAGAATGGAGAAAACCCATAATCGCAGAGTAACTTGTATTCTGATTTATTATTTATCACATCACGGTTAAAACAATTTCCTAGTTTTGTGTATTTTTAATATTGACATTGAATTTTCACCTAATGCAAAGGCAGGTTTCAGAAACTTTTTAAACATTTATATATGCAGGTAGTTAAGGGGGAAAATCCCTTTTTTATTAAGATACAGAATGCATGTTTATCAAAATTCATCTCAGATTGCATTTAGAAATATAGATACCTTGGGTTTGAAAGAACTTACTGGGCTTCACGGAATGACAGATATTACTGACAGAACAGAGTTATGAATGATAAAAGAACCCAGGAAATGCTTATACTCATGTGGCTATAAATTAAGTAGTAGAAGAAAGACTGCTATTTGTTGGCTGGCACAGAGCAAGCATTAAGTTAGTAAATGTGTAAGATAACTCTCAGGGTACATCTTGGATTGCTTCATGGAGAAGTACTGAACCTCCTCTGTGGCTCAGTCCCGCGTGGCTGATGGCCTGTGAGCCCACCACTCCCACGGGGTTCTCACTGACATAATGCAGACATGGCACTCCAGGAGGCCCCAGGCAGTAGCACAGGAGTCCTGCACAGAGATCGTAGCTGAAAAAGTCATAGAATTCTAGAAAAATTGAGCATTGTAAATGTTGGTTTGTGCTTCAAAATGTTACATTTCGCTGCTATGAGCAACATCTGTTCAAAGTCACCTAATACTAAGACATGGCTGAGCAATATTACCTTTGTTTTAGGCACAATTAGCAGCTCTCTGGAATAACTGGTGCAGTCCAGCCCCTCTGGAAATCCTGCTGGCTGATGCCCACAGCACACTGAGTGCTGGCGGGTAAGGCTGCCTTTGCACACCTGTATAACTCATCTCTTACCACGATGGTTCTTAAACTTCAGGAGGCCTCAGAATCATCTGGAAGGCTTATTAAGACATTGTTGGACCCCACTTCTATAGTTACTGATGCATTCAATCTATAAAAGGACATCCAAGAATTTGCATTTCTAACAAGCTTCCTCATGATGTGAGGCTGTGGTCCAGGAATGACCATTTGGGGACTGCTGTCCTCTTAAGTGAGTTATATGGTTACCAATAATCAATTTCATTGGTTTACAAACCACCTCAAAGAAAAGACCTGAGAGGGGAGGGGTGGTGAGGAAAGACCTGGACTTTACACCAAAAGATTAAATGAATGTACAGCCATACATTTCAAATCAAAATGTTTATGGCATATATGTATCTTTTCTTATGATTTCCCACCATAAGTCATTCTTTTGGATTAACCCAGTGAACTACCGGTCCCAAATACAGATTAGACAACTTGTATTGTAGGAGTAGTGTTTGTGTTTACAACACAGGTAGCTGTATTCAGTGGTGGAGACCGGGAAACTTTCCCATGATTTTATGAGAGATGAGCACTGGAGCATGTAAAAATACAAGGAATACATACCAAAAGCATTTTCTGTGTGGACAGAGGCAGGGCTAAATGACTGAGGAACGAAAAGCCGGAACATAAAGGAAATACAACAGCAAGAATGCACTGACCAGGGTTCCCAGATGTGGCATAGCCTGTGTCTTATAGACCAGAAGCCAGAGGCCCAGGAAGACTAGGGCCAGATACTGGTCTAGGCACTGGAGAAAGCACCATGAACAAAACACCCAGGTTCCTTCTGTCTTAGAGGTTAAAGTCACTTCTTTCCTTTCCTCGTGAGAAAAGAGGAAATTTCAGTATTGGTATTGAATTCCTAAAATAGGAAGATGTTATGATTCCTTTTGTTAAAAAATAGGCAAACAGAAAACTATTTCCTGATGTAAGTATGTATATTCAAGAAGGGGAGGGGCATGTGGTAGATGGGAGGCAGTCTCGTAAACAGTATTTCGAGAGCAAACACAGTCTAATGAATGCCTTACATTTTTCTTAATGCTAACGGACTTTTCATTCCTAATACAATGGTTTGCGTGTGTGTGTGTCCCTCCAAAGAGATGGAGAAATACTGTGGTGTCGTTCACTTACCTTCATGGTACCCTTGTTTAGTAAATGGGGTCAGGCAATAGACTCTCCTTCCCCATTCCCACCCCATTCCAACTGGTTCTCATGTGTAGGTGTGGAAAGAAGGATAGTAAGAGAAATCATCATGACTGTCATGTAACAGCTGCTGTTTATTGAATCCTTATAATGTCAGACAGCACGTTCATTGTCTCATTTCATCCTCGCATCAGTCACAATGGTTCTTAATATTTCCATTTTTATAGATGACAAAATGGAGGCTTAGGTTAAATAACTTACTCAAGGTCACAAAGCTTATACAAGTTGAAACAGGATTTGAGCTCCATCTGATTCCACCGTCAGAACTCTCATCATTACCACAAACCTTGTACAGGAGCTTTTGTTGTGTTCATGGAAAAACTAGGTCTCTGAAACCTTCATTTTGCAGAGAATGTTTTTCTGTGGTCTTGAGATAGGGTACGCCTGTCCTTGGTTGCTACAATAGATGACAGAGATGGAAGTGACTATTTTAGAACTGAATGTGCCATCCATTAGCCCATAGAAAGGAAACATTTTTGAATGTTTGTTTTTTCTAATTGTGGGTGTTAAGTAAAGTGATTGGACAAACAGTTCTCTCCTGCTTGGTAATCTGTTATAAATCAACCTTCAGATGTTAATAAAACAAATCAAGACTGACAAAGGAAGTTCCATTTGTATTTTAAACTCTCAATTCATCAGGGTCTCCTCCTTTAGATCTTCTGTGAGAGTGTCCTTGGTCTTAATGTAGCTGGAAGATAAAATGCAGATAAAAGAGTCATTGTCTCAGAAGAGCATTAATAAAAAATGAATGTTGATCCTAATTGAGTAGTATTTAAACATACGGGGTGGAGGCAGCAGTCTGCAGGGAGCATCTGAGTCTGTTAGAATTTGACTCTCGATCTCATCTTCCTCCTCTTATTACAGGGACCTCACCACCCAGCTGCCTTCTGTGAATGTAAACTGTCACAATGGAATCAGAAAAGATATATATAGACATAGTACTATAGCAGATTCTCAGCTCTTTTGCTATCGTGGTTCTTATTTTGAAACAACGTACTACTATTCCTCTATCTTTTCCTAAAAATCTGTTCATAGAATGTTCAATTAACTAATTTTCTGTTCTTCCCTTTTCATTGTTTGCTGTTTCTGTTTACAGTGGTTCCTGATAACTTAGTTTTAAGTTCTCCTTAATTCTGTTATGCTGGATATAACAGAAAGAACTCGCGATGGTCAAAGGTGAAATAATTTGAACAAAAATATTAATAATGATAGTATTGGATTATAAACCAGAGAACAAAATAAATATACATGAGTCCATACTGATATAATTAAATTACTGAATAAAGAAATGGGAGGAAAGAAAAATGTCTTCCTTACAGAAGAATTGCAATTTAAGGAGTGAAAGAAATAAAAATATTACCACTTGAACACTGAAGTAATTTCTACAGGCAAGATCCACTAGTGGATGCTAAAATTAACAAGTGAAAGTTTAAGGAGAAACATGATAGTTTCACAGCCTCCAAGTATTTTCCCCCAAATATTTATTAATTCCTCTGGTGGTTTTAATATACACATATATCTACAAATTCTTTAATACTGCTTCCTCTTAGGAGATGGGGCTAAATTCCCCTCCTTGTGAGGATGGGCTGGATGTCAGTGACTCCAATTCCAATGAACTGACTCTGGAAAGGTAAAAGTCTTAATTTTTCGGTGGAGAAACTTGGCATGCATCACCTTAACCGGTGGATCAAGGTTAATGTCACCAATAGTAAGACTTTGATGTCATGTACTTCATGATACGATGCAAGGAAGGGGCATGTCACCTCTGTGGCATTCTTCCCCAAATTCATAACCTCAATCTAATCATGTGAAAGCATGAAACAAACCCAGATTGAGGGACAGTCTACAAAATAGTTGACCAGTACTCTTCAAACTGTCAGAATCATGCAGTATTGTACCAACGTTCACCTCTTAGTTTTCATAACGGTACCACAGCTAAATAAGATGTTAACATTAGGAGAAGGTGGATGAAGAAGGCTTTATGATAACTTTCTGCATTATTTTTGCAACTTTTCTGTAAGTCTTTAAGTATTTCAAAATAAAATGTTTAAAGAAAAAAAAAAAAAGACCCATCAAGGGCATAGAAAAGCTTAGGTGAAGAAACCCTAAAATGAATCCTCATTTATCGACTCATTCGTTTATTGATTCGTTTGTTCATGCACTCATTCATTTGTTCACTCAAGAAGTATTTGTTGCCAGACACAGTACCAACAAAGAAAATAGCAGCCACTATGGCTTTGCAGAGCTTGGTACGCAATGCCTGGTTCAGAGGAGATATTGGTTCATCACTTGCTTTTACTGTATCACAGCCTGGGGTGGCATGTAGAGGTTTGAACAAGTGCTGAAGCAGGACAAGTGAGGTGCTTATGGAAGCACACAGGAGAGGCACTTAACCTAGTTGTGGGAGACCACAAAAGGCTCCCTGATCAGCCTTTGTAATATGAGTAAGCCTATTGTTTAGTCTTTCATTTTAAAGTGTGTTCAGTGTTTTCTATGGGACGAACATACTTGTGACTTAAATTTTGAAGTTGATTTCATCCTTGTAGATTCTAAATGCCTCAAAAGTGAGTGCTTTAAAAGTAAGAATAGCGTAAGTTGTTTATATATATCCATCAAATCCTAGTTGGTAACACAGAGTTTTTATAAGGAGTAAAGGGGTCTCAAATCCCTTTGGGTTAGAATCATTTGTTACTTTGAGTTTTCCTTAGCAGCCAAAAAAAAAAAAAGAAAAAAGAAAAAAAAGAAAAGAAAAAGAAAAAAAAGTGTGACACAAAATGTATACATGCTGCAAATATCTTCGGTGGCTCACGCCTGTAATCCCAGCAATTTGGGAGGCCGAGGTGGGCAGATCACAAGGTCAGGAGATTGAGACCATCCTGGCTAACATGGTGAAACCCCATCTCTACTAAAACTACAAAAAATTAGCCAGGCATGGTGGCATGTGTCTGTAATCCCAGCTACTCAAGAGGCTGAGGCAGGAGAATTGCTTGAACCTGGGAAGCGGAGGTTGCAGTGAGCTGAGATCGCACCACTGAACTCCAGCCTGGGTGACAGAGCGAGACTCCGTCTCAAAAAAATAAAAATACTTATTGGAGTGCATGAAATTGTGGATGTTAAAAAGCTGTTTTCTAAATAGGCTGTAACCAGAAGAAATATTTTTACAACAGTATTTTCAGTGGAACATTTTCAGAAAAAGAAACTTAGAAACAATGTAAATATATAACAAAAAGGAGACACTGAAATCGTATTCCTATATGACAGACACATAAGACAGTGATTAAAATTATAGAATTTATGTAGATGTGCACATCACACACATACACCCCCTCAACATATGAAAATGAAAAAGGAATACACTAAAATATTAATAATACGTATCTCAGAGTTATGGGATTGTGGGATTTTGTTTATACTGCTTTGTTTTACTTTTTCTACCATGAGTATATAATTTTTATAATTAGAATGAAATTGTCTTGTGTTACTTTTTGAGAGAGGCGTTAATTCTAAAAAGTAGTGGTACAGAGGTCCTGGGACTCTTAATGTATGGGTTCAGTAACAGATGTTCTAATTGAAGTGAGAATCAGAGCTCAGGAAATCTAGTCTGAGTCCTCCTGTGTAGCTAAATAATAATTTCATATTAGTATTATTTTTGTGTACCGTTTCTCAATATGTTTTTAAATAACTTTTTGATGGTTTTATATAGGAAGAAATACTGTGCCCATCAATAGGTATACTTTCATGAAATTTAGCCTACCTCATGGTTTCTCTCTTACAGCTTGTAAGTCTCAGGCATTGAGAAGCACTTGGCCTATGTAGCAAGTGGATAGACTGCATTGCAAATTCCCAAGAAGGTACCTACCAATGGTCTCATTAAAAGCACTTGGAGGTAGGCCAGGCATGTTGGCTCAGGCCTGTAATCCCAGCACTTTGGGAGGCCGAGGCAGGCAGATCACAAGGTCAGAAGATCAAGACCATCCTGGCTAACACAATGAAACCCTGTCTCTACTAAAAGAACACAAAAAATTAGCTGGGGGTGGTGGCGGGCACCTGTAGTCCCAGCTACTCGGGAGGCTGAGGCAGGAGAATGGCGTGAACCCGGGGGGCGGAGGTTGCAGTGAGCTGAGATTGTGCCACTGTACTCCAGCCTGGGCAACAGAGCAAGACCCCATCTCAAAAAAATAAATAAAATAAAAAAGCACTTGGAAATCTTTTTCTAAAAATCTATTATGATTCAGTCAACAAGCACAGCCCCTCATCAATCAATGTTGGTCATTCTCATGTAGCCGTTTGACCTAATGTCTTGTCAGCAACTATACCCCCTCATTATTCTGAAAACTGACCAGGCCTCGGCCATTCAGGCCATCAGGCACAAAGATAGAGGCTCACTGGCCACATATTACCTGATACAGTATGATACAACCATTGAGAGTTCTTTCTGTTACATCCAGCCTACAACCAATATGTAATGATGCAACATATTACCTGATACAAACCAGGGAAGGGAACCATTTTTAGAGTGTCGAGCTCTACCTGTCTTATTCTCTGCACATTGGATCATTAGAGACTGTCCTGAGACTAATCCAGAGAGGTCAATCTAAGCACATTAAAACAGAAGGGTGGCCAGGCATGGTGGCTCACGCCTGTAATCCCAACACTTCGGGAAGCCAAGCTGGGAGGATCTCTGGAGCCCAGGAGTTTGAGACCAGCCTGGGCAACATAGAGAGACCCTGTCTCAAATTAAAAGAAAAAAAAATTAGGCATAGTGGCATGTGCCTGTAGTCCCAGCCACTCAGGAGGCTGAGGCAGGAGGATTGCTTGAGCCCAGAGAGTTCAAGGCTCCAGTGAGCTACGATAGCAGCTCTGCACTTCAACTGAGGTGACACAGTGAGACGCTGTCAAAAAAACAAAAAACACAAACAGAGTTAAGAGCCATCATCTCAGAGATGGAGACAGGACTGAGCAAAGGAGAGGCTAGAACTAAAGTGAAATGAGGCGGGAAGGGCATACAGCCAGGAGTGACAGAGGAAGGAAACGATGCTGAAGAGTTTAGGATGAGATCTTTAGGTGGCAGGATGTCTGCTTGGACAGTGTTTGGAGGAATACTCCTTCTTTAGCTCCTCTTGGGCTATACTGAACCTTAAGGAAGTAGACTCCTAACAGATAGGTAGAGTCCCTAGCTCTGCTTTGATCTATAGATAAAGCAACTCTTTCCTTTAAAAAAATAAAAAGTTGGCTGGACATGGTGGCTAATGCCTGTAATCCCAGCACTTCAGAAGGCCGAGGCAGGTGGATCACTTGAGCTCAGGAGTTCGGATTGCTTAAGCCCGGGAGGCAGAGGTTGCAGTGAGCCAAGATGGCACCACTGCACTCCAGCCTGGGCAGTCGAGCAAGACTCCGTCTCAAAAAAAGGAAAAAAAAAAGTTAAGACTGGGTGTGGTGGCTCACGCCTGTAATTCCAGCACTTTGGGAGGCTGAGGTGGGCAGATCTCTTGAGGCCAGGAGTTTGAGACCAGCCTGGCCAACATTGTGAAACTCTGTCTCCACTAAAACTACAAAAGTTAGCTGGGCGTGGTGGCACGCTCATATAGTCCCAGCTACTTGGGAGGCTGAGGTAGGAGAATCGCTTTGAGCCTCGGGGACAGAGGTTGCAGTGAGCCGAGATCACGCCACTGTACTCCAGCGATGGTGACAGATCAAGACTCCATCTAAAAAAAAAAAAAGTTGGAAAGTCAACATATTTCTTTTTTTTTTTTTTCATGTTCTTTGAAAAAAACTAAAAGCTTTCTAGGGCACCTGTGACTACCATTTGTTTTTCTTTATGCTTTGAGCTACAATCATCTAAAAAATAAAAATGATTGTGCTTCTTATCTTCATTTTCCTCTAAAGTAAGACTCTTCCTA